TGGAAAAAGAGGCTGCTGGTCCGTATCAGGCCTTGTTCCCAGGTAAGAGAGCCCTGCTTTGGCAGAGTCCTGTTGTGTTTGTGCCTGCCTCCTGTTTTCTCCTCAGCTCTTTCCTGCTTCTGTCCCTTCCCCTAGGGAAAGCCACATAGCTCCTCTACAAGGCAGGGGAGAGGGAAGGAGCAGGGCTGGTGTGATGGGCTGAGATTGATGCCTGGGTGCCTGGGGCTGTTGGCTCTCTTCTTCCTTTGGGCTGAGCCTGGGTTGGTTCTGCCAGGGCTGGAGTCCCAGTGGGAGAGGATGCAGGAGGCAGATCTCTCTCCAGTTGCATGAAAGTGCTGGAAGGGTGCAGAAGGGACCTCTGGGGTGCAGTCTGTGGCAGCTTGGTCAGGAGAGAGGTGCCCAAAGCTTCTATTGCTTGAGAACAGAAAGAGACCAGAGATGATGGAAGCAAAGGGAACCAGCTCTATGCTGTAGTGAGAGAGAAGGTACTTTGGAGACCCAGCCATTACACAGTCTGTCCTTTCTGATATCTTGCAGAGATCCCCCCTGGATACCCATTCCAGTCCCTGCCTCCCTCCTTTGGAAGACACTATCCCTACCTCCTCCAGCCCCCCGCAGCATCTGACGCGGACGGGCTGGCTCCTGACGTCCCGCTGCCTGCTGAGGGCTCTGAGCACATGGACCTCTCCTCAGAGGTCAAACCCATCCGCCTGTCTCCGTCCAAAATCCTAGAGCCCATCCCAGCAGCACCAGAAGAGGAATCCTTGGAAGAGAGGGTGAAATCAGAGGTGCAGATGGAGGAAAGCCAGGAAAGCATCTGTGAGCAGGACATGGGGACTCTGAACATCAGCACCTCTGCAGCCGTCCCTGTGCAGAACGTGGACAATTGCAACCTCCTGTTGCACCAGGGCGAAGCCCTGGGAGCTATGGAGCAGGACCAGGAAGACCTCCAGAGCTGCCCACCTCCCTACCAGGTTGTGGCCTGTCCTGCAGAGGCAGAGGCTGAGGCAGAGAGCGGGAGTGGAGCAGAAACCTGCTCCATGCACATGGACTACGACGGTTTGCTCGTGCATGCGGAGAGCGAGCCCCCGGAGATGGACCTGACGCCCCAGCGGGAGGAGGCCTCTGTGGCCATGGATCTGCAGAGTGCTGATGTGCCCCGGGCCAGGGAGTTTCCCAGCCTGCCTCCTGAGGAGGGGGAGCAGGGGCCAGAGATCCCTTCCTACACAGAAGAGGCAATCACTTGCCAAATCCCAGATCTGGACATCAAGCCGGGTGACCCGCTGGCTGGGATGAATGCTTTGGTGGCTGCTACAGAAATGCCTCAGGCTTGTTCCTTGCTGACTACCACCACTGTCCCTCCACCCCAGATGAAGGTGGAGGTGTTAACTGACCAGAGCCTGGAGCACTCCTTCCTGCAAGGGATCACTTTGCTGAGTGAAATTGCAGAGATGGAGCTGGAGAAACGGAAGCAAGAAATGCAGAGTAAGTTGTGAGTGGGGAGTCTGGTCAATTCTGGACTGTGCTGGGTCTCCCAGCTTATGGTCCCTGTGCTCTCCTTGTGGGCAGAGGAGCAGAGTCACAGGTGGGATCTCTCTCAGCAAGACAGCAAGGAGTGCATTGCTGTGAGTTGCAGGAGTGGTTGGTACTTCAGATGGGGTTGGAGCAGAGTTTTTGTTGCAGCAGGCTGAGCTACGTGTGGCTTTTGTACTGCTCTCCCTTCCAAAGGCCCTCGCCATGTCTAGACAGTTTGTGGTATGCGCAGAGGAAACGGAGCCCCAGTTGCTGAGAGCTGCCAGGGTAACACCCTTCTGGCAGGCACTGAGTCCACAGTCTGTTGGGGTTTGGCACCAGAGGCCCCAGTAGCTCCAGATGATGCTTTCCAAGAGCTTGGCAGGTCCTGAAAAGAATCTCACCTTCCAGTAACTTCCTGAGGTGAGAAGTGATGGGAACTGCCAGTTACACCATGGCTGAGTACAACAGGAGATCTCAAGTGGGGGCCAGGGGTGGCTGGGGGGCTCCTTGAGCAGCCATAGTCAAGAAAGGGCCATCAGCCCCTCCTTGTGCCTGCTGGAGAAGCAGTCCTGGAATGTAGAGATTCTGTAGCATTTTTCCCTGCCCTTCTCAGCAGGTCCAGAGAGTTTCCCTGTCCGGCCAACACTGGAGAGTTTGCTGGCTGCCAGCACCCACATGCTCATGGAAGTGCTTTCCACCCCCTTTATGGAAAGTCTGAAAACCATCCGGCTGCCTCGAGAGCTGAATCCCAACAAAAAGTACAGCTGGATGCAGAAGAAGGATGAGCCAGTAAGTAGCTCTTAGTGTGGCTGGGCCTGGAAAGCCCCAGTGCATCCACTGACACAGCTCACTGTCCCAGCCCCAATCTGGGGGCTCATGCTGGCTCTGCTGCCCCTCTGCATTCAGCACAACGAGCTGGCTGTTCCCTCATGTCACATTCCTGGCTGCACAGCACTCAGTAGGCTGCAGATTAGGTTCTTCCCTTGTTTGTTAGTCAAGGTTCAGCCCTGGAAATAGTGTTTTAATGTGAAACCAGAGCAACCTGTGTGTTACTGTTTTGGCCAGAGGATAAATAAAAATAGTGGCAGCAGGGTTTTTCCTTGTTTATTTTTAATTTGCTGACCCTTTCCTGTGGAAGAGGCTGATAAGTTATTTTGTACAGAGCAAGTAAGTATTCCAAGATAGGATATATTGTGATCTGTCATTTTAAACAAGGTAAAAGAGCATCTTATCCTGCAGCTTCTCTTCCAGGGTTGCAGTCCCTCTGAGCTGATTCCATCCTGTGCATAAGCCACAGAACATCTTTGCTTTGCTGGTTTTCTTGGGCACCACTCTGAGGCTGTGCTGGTGTCTCTGCTGCTCTCTCAGCACCAAGGGCTCTCTGCCAGGCTGCACACCTTGGCCATTGCCAGGGCACCCCGTGTGCACCCCCTGGGCCTGTCCTGACGCTCTGTTGCCTCCCCACTCCAGATGTACTCCATCAAATCAGCCATTGAGAACATGGATGCCATGGAGCTGGACTACAGGATGAGGCTGGCCGAGCTGCAGCGGCGCTACAAGGAGAAGCAGCGGGAGCTGGTGAAGCTGCAGCGCCGCAGGGACTCCGAGTAAGTCACAGGCTGCTCATCCAGGTCTTGGTTTTTTCCAGCTGGGCGCTGCCTCTCGGCCCAGGAGAGAAAACTGCCCTCCATCCCTCCCTGCCTCCTCTCCTGTCCTCTCCTCCTGGTACATCCCAGCAGAGCTTTGCACAGCACACTCCTAGGCTATGTGACACGACAACCTGGTAACTGGTGACTGCAGCTGGGAGACTGTGTTAGAGACAACCTTGGCTTCAGCAGCTCAGTTTAGCAGTTTGGTGGCAGGCGAAGGTTCTGGGTTGGCTCCCGTTCTTGCTCGCTTTCTTTTAATTATTTTCCCTTCTTCTTCTTCTTTTTTGGATTTATTTTCTTTATTTTTTCCCTGTTCGTTTTGCTTTTCGGTTGCAAAATTTGCTTTTGCTTTTTTTTTTTTTCCTTTGCCCTTTTTTTTTGTTTTTGGTTTTTTTTGTTGCCTTGGTTAACAGTGAAGCGTATGGTTTTTTTAAAGGGAAAAGCATGACGAGAAAAGTAGAAGCTTGGCGAGAAGAGGCCCTGGAAGGCCCAGGAAGAGGAAACTTGGATCAAGCGCTCTGTCACCCATTAAGGAGAGAGGGAAGAGTGACAGCAAGAGTGGAAAGTAAGGCTGGAATTTGGGGAAGACGGGAACATGGCAGGGTCACTGTGCCAGGGTCTGACTCGGGGACAGCATCTCGGAGGGCTCGCTCTGTTGGCAGGCTGGCTAATGTGAGTGTGTCCTTACAGTGGGAATGCAGTGCCAGTGTCCTCCCTCCCCGCAGGCAGAGCTCCTGGCTGCTGTTGGGTGCAGGCAGGACAGGTGGAGTTGAGCAGCTGTGAGATGCTGAGATGGCTGGCAGGCAGTTTAGGCGAGGTTTTGGAGTTGGGCAGTGTCCTCGTGTGCTTTCAGGAGAGCAGATGGTGCAGTCAGGTGCTGTAGAGGCAGTTGTGGGGATGTTGATGTCAAAACTGGGAAGGACAGGGCTGTTCCAGGTTATCTACTTTGTAGGACTTTTCTGCTGTGTTTCTTCTGTCTTCCTCTCTGTTCCCTGAATCAGTGGGAGTTGGTTTTGCCTGACATCTCTGTTTCAAGCATCAAGATTATCCTCTACTCTGCTTTTTTCTGTTTTGCAAGTCCAGCTGCCCTTGTTTGGATCTCACCACTGTTGGCCACCTACCCTACCATGGATGGCCTCTCCAATGGGAAGGCATTTCCAAGCTGCCTCCCTGTGTGCTCCATATTTCTGCACATGTCCTTTTCAAGACTGCAAATCAGAGTCAGGTGCCCAGCTCCCACTGACCAACGCTTCTGAAAATCTGTCCTCTTGGTGGCTCTGTGTTTTGCTCTTTGTGTTTGGGTGGCTGGCCAGGCTGGAGGCACCCAGAGGCAGCTGGAGCTGTGCATGTGTGGGTGTGTGACAGTGTTGTGTGTGCATGTCCCTGGATCACAGGAATGCTGCTCTGGGAGGTGGAGGTGCACCCTCAGCCAGTGTCCAGGACCTGAGGTGTTGGTTTAGCTGTCTGTGCAGGTCAGCAGAGAGGATAGAAGGAGGAGAAATGCCTGGAAGCTGAGGAGGCTGCCCCGTGTCAGTGGCTTTGTGGTCTGACCAGCAGGCTTAGGGTGAAGGAGGCAGCATATGAGAGCTTGAAATGGAAGCTTGGTAGGAATCCTGAGGTGCTGAGTGATCATCCATCAGATAGTGACTGGAGATGGCTGGGGAGCCGGGAAAGATGTGCTTATAGTCTCACCTACTTTATTTTTTATTTTATTTTCTTATTTATTTACCCTCTCCTTTCCCCCCAAATCCCAAAGCAACTCCAATGGTGTAGATCACAAATGCCTTTCACAAAGGGCCCGACCTGGAGTCTGGAGTGAGCCAGTCCTTGCAGTGCCTTTGTCCCTCCTTGTCATCCCATGTGGCATTTCCTTGCCACCTCCTGCTCATTCCAAAGAAACCAAAGTGTCTGGGCAGTGAGGCACCTCCCTGGGCCTCAGGAGTCTCTTTCTGCACCCACAGAATCCATGGAAGTAGAAGTGGGAAAAGACCTTAAGGGCCACCTCAGCTGTCATCCTTCCTGTGGCTGCTCTCTACCAAATCAGGCACTTTTTGGTGGCTGTTACCAAAACACCAAGCATGTTCTTGTAGAGACCACCTTGCAGGTCTCTGATTTCAGGCACCCTCACCTGTCCTGGTGGCCAGGAGCGTGCACAAAGGGCTCCTTGGCTCTCCTGTTTGGTGGAAAACCTTGGCTGAGCTGCTGTCACTTCACAGTAGACTTGGCTCCTGCTGAGGATCCCCATTGTCTTGGGAAGCATTTAACCTCACTTTGGAGCTTGGTGGGGATCACAGGGAGGAAAGCCCCCCCACCTTGACCCATCCTGTGCTTGGCTTGCAGACTGAGCAAGTCCTTGTTACTCTCTGAAGACTCTGAGACTGGTGAGGGCATGAAGAAGAGGCACAAAGGGGCCATCCCAGAGGAGGACGAGGATGTGGAGAGCAGCAGCGGCAAGATGAAAGGGAAGAACCCAAGCTGGGAAGAGCACGATGCAGCTCCCAGCTTCTCAAATGAGGTCAGTGCCCTCGTGGGGAGCATGGAGCCACGTGCCAAAAGCCCATCTCTTTCCTGCTTTGCTGGTGTTGGCTTGGACTCCTGATCTTTCAGCGTCTGCTTTTAGTTCACATGGGTTTAGGTGTTCCTCAAGAGAGGATTGTGTGCAGTGGAGGGGCTAATGTTGGCTTGCAGAGGTAGAACAGCAGAGTCCAGTGCCTTGGAGGCAGCCAGAGCATTCAGTGCTGCACTGGCTCTGAGTCCAGAGCAGGGCTTCTCTTACCCCTTTGCCTATTGAGAGAGCACAGGGGAATGGATCCCCTAAAGCAAGGGAGGAATGGAAGCACAGCCTTACTATTTCAAATGCAGGGTTTTCTGCTTCTGTTGAGGCAATGAGATATTTACTGGAGCTTTAAGCTGGTGATGAAATTCAAAATGCATGCAGGCAAAGTACTGAGTTAGAGCTGCTGTTATCTAGCTGTAGCACATGTAAAATATATTTGGTTTTTTCAAGAAGCGAGAAAATACTGAAAAGGATGTAACAGCCCTGGCTGTAGTACAGTGGTGCTGATGCTCATGCTGAGAGATATTTGGGTTCTTTTGGCATCCCAGCCTCTGGAGCTGGTTGATTATGTGGAAATCCGTATTTATTTGGCTGGCTCTTGGGTAAAGAAGATTCTTAATCCTTGTGTTTTAGAGAAAAGCTTGTAAAACCAGCCCAAACATACCCTAAAAACCAGGTGGTGTAGAGAAAAAAGAACTCCAAAGTATGTTGTTCTATGAACATATTTCTTTTGGAAGAACATTCAAGTTTTCTAAGTTAATCTCGCAGTTTTGTAATGCTCAGTAAAACTGTACTTTTAGCTGACATCTTCCTCTTCTTCCTCCCTGGAACCATGATGGGTTATGGCAGCTGGGGGGCTAAAACTATCACCTTGAGGCTTTATTAACTACATGGATGAGATAATTTGGAGGGCTAGTAAAATCCCTCAGGTCTCCTATGACATCTGCTCCGTGTTCACCTTGTCTCTTCCTTTCACCTTGGCAGTTAAAGCTCAAAAAGAAGAAGGTGCCATCAGATCAGGAGCAGCTGGCCAGCAAGCTTGACAAGGCCCTGTCTCTCACCAAACAAGACAAGCTCAAATCCCCCTTCAAGTTTGCTGAGAGCTCTGGGGGAAAGCTCAAAAACAGTGGAGGTGGCAGCAGGTACCTCACAGCCCATGAGGCTCTGCCAAGCAAGGAGGAGAAGAGCCTGGCCAAGAACCTGGGCCTGTCACTGAAAACAGCCAAGGAAGGTAAAAACAAAGTGACTGCCAAAATGAAGAAGATGGAGGTGGGGTTGAAAGTCAAAAATCAGCTCAAGGTTTCCCATTCACCAGCAATATCTGAAGTTAGCAGCTACTCCTATAGTAAGTAACCTCTTTTCTATCTCTTCTGTCTTTAGGAGGGCGCTGTGGTGGGAGTTTCTGGGCTACTGAAAGGAGTCTTGCAGATGAGTCTGGTTTTGTTCATGAATGAAAAGTGACCTCCTCCTCCTCCTCCTCCTCCCAGTGACTGTTGCTGTATTTTTGGGTTGTGTGCCCACCTTGCTGTCCAAGGGCAAGCCATGATCAGTGTGTCTCTTCCTGATCTGTGTTATATTCATCATCAGTGGGGAAAACACTTGAAGAAGTTGACCCATATTCTTTCTTTTGGTGGGAGTAGACACTGTCCTACCTGGCAGATGAGCAGGTGGAGCCTCTTCTCTAGGAGGTAGTTGACTGTTGAAGTCCTTGTTGAGTGCAGTGGGCTTGGCTTTAGGATGATGCCATGGAATGTGTTGGAAGGGAAAAGCCTGGCTGTGACAGTGTTCCTGAGTGTCCTCCTGCCCTTCAGTGTCATGGCTTGCTTCCTGGCTGGCTGTGCTGAGCATTCCCATGGCTCTCATCAGTGCTTGTCCCCACCCCACATCAGTGTGGTGATTGTTAGTTCTAAACCCAAAGTGTGCCCAAAGTGAAGGTTCCAACTGACCCCTGTTACAGAAGGAAGAATCTGAATTTCCAGTGTTGGGAAAACAGTAGAATCAAACATAGGAGAGTCTTTAACAGTTCAGGCAGACACTGGGGCAGAGTTTATGGTCTGAGACCGTTGTGTAATGGTCTCAGCTCACTTGCACACGCATCTTTCCCCTTGCTTGCAGCTATTTAAAGCCATGTTAAAACCTTTATGGGGTGTTTGTGTGCATAACAAATACATCTCTTGGTGCAACACTAGTTTAGAAATTTCACTAATGGGGAAGATGAGCTAGGGACTCTCCAATGGAACAAATGTTTGGCATGAAATTAGCCATTTATGTGGCAAAATAGGAGTCATTGTGTCCACTGGACTTGAACACAGCCTTTGGCTTATTGTGCTGTACACAGTACCCAGCAGTTCTGTTCTTGAGTGTGCTTTACTCCCAAGGACAGACACGTGTCTCCTGAACTGTGGGCTCTGGAGCTAATGGGAAGATAAAGGATGGGCTGTTGGTGGAGCTAAAGCATTGGCTCATGGCAGAGGGAGCTTTTACAGTGCCTTCCCACTTGGCACTGTGGTTCCATGAACAAAAACTGCTTCCCAGACCTAAGAGAGCTTCTATCTGACCACTGTCCAGTGAGTCTCCTGATGTGGGAGTGTTCCCCTTTGTCACTCAGATCTCAGCTCAGTATTATTGCAACTGAGAAAACAGCTCAGCTTTGGTTTTTCAGCTGTGTGCAGGTTCAAAGGAAGGGCCTCAGCCTGTCATTTGGTCACTCAGGCATGGTGAATTTGGGGAGGCAGGTTGAGCATATGGCAGCACCTCATATGATTGCTGGGCTGCTCATGTGGAGAAGGAGAAGCAGAAGCAGGACTGGCGCCAAGTCCTTCTGCTTCCTGACCTCAGGATTGTCTACCTGGAGTCCTGAAAGCTTTGGGCACGGATCCAAAGGGCAGACTGAGTATCTTACTCCCATAAATTTTAAGAGAAGTCAAGTGTCCAAAATAATTTGCATATTTGGACTTCAAGCTTCCTAAACTTGCCATTCTTTGTCTTCCTCTCCCCAACCCAGTGCAGTGGAGCTGAGGAGTGATGACACAATGTCTGTAATGTTGTGAAGCTGAGGGCATGTCCACAAATGGGGAGGTGACAATGTACACCCGCTTCTGTTGCATCCAGGGGTGCCATGTTCTTTTTGTCCCTCTCATCAGCTGCCAGAGGGGATATCTAGATAACTTCTCACCACCCACAAGGCTTAGCAGCTTTGTAAAGCCATCCTTCACAGACCAAGGAGCAGCTTGGTCCCTGCTCCTTTGCGGTGTACGCCGTGGAGCATCTGGGGCAGCGTGTTTGGAGTCAGACATTTGGAGTTAGACATCCTGCCTCCTTGGCAGCTGGGCTTGCTCCAGCCACACGTGTTGAAAACCCTCTGTGAGAGCTGGTTCGTGTAGAAAAGGAGATTCAGGTCAAGAGTGTTGAATGTCACCATAGCCAAGTCAAATTCAGGTTGATGGCCCAGTTGTTGACAGTGCTGTTGCCTTCAGTGGACATTTTCATAGTGGAAATGTTTGCTTCATTTTTCTGCTGCCAAGCTAAAAACACTCCTTGGATCTTAAGGGAGGACAAGGAGGTGGAGAATGTCCGTTTGTAATGGAAAGAAGGAAATGTGAATTTCTGTGTTTGTTGAGCTCAAGGCTTACGATGGAGCACCTGGGCAGGGGTGGACAGTGGTGGCACCCAAACCCC